TTATGTGTTTGTTATTTTGCTTATTAAAGATCTTTACTTTTTGGGTCACATAATGGTGCCTGTCCCCTTTATTTTTGCCACCCTATGCCCTGAAGTAAGGGGACCAAAGGGTTTGTTGCAGCCACCCGTGCTGCAACAGGGAGTTCTGGGTTTTGGGGTTTTTTTTTTAATTATTCCAATTCAGATCTTAAATCAGCATTTTAAAGAACACTAAGGCTGCCAAGTACTGAAGGTAGCAAACAACTCAGATTTTTCTGAAAGCATCTTGTGGCAGCTGCAAGTTTGTGTTACATTACTTAGAGCAGTAATTGCCTTTGGAAATTAGATTGTCTTGCTTATTCAAAAGATTTACCATGAGTAACCATAAAAATTCAAAAGTTAACTCACTAAGTGCCGATATTAGCAAGCAGATATAGAGGATGTGTGTGGTAAAAATTAAGCAGAAATTGAAATCTACCATCAGATAATGCAGATCAATTCTTTGACAGTACACTTTGATATCCCTCAGAACATACATGGTCCAGTGGTTCTAAAACTCTCTAAACAGCACAGTTTGCAAACTCTTCCCTGTTGTAGATTTCTCTCAGGAACAAGTACACCTTGCTATCCAATTTAGATTTTAATTTATGTGTTTTCATCCTTCTTCTTACATTCCTCAGGTAGTCCTCCTTATTGGTATTTTCAGTTCTTATTTAGTCAAGCTCTAAATATTTTGATTTTTCTTACAGTGACATGACAATTTTACGTAAGAAAATTTGCCAAACTATTTTGATAATAGGTCACTTAATATGTCTGGTGTCAGAAAGTGTGTGTGAACCATTTATCTTTCAATACTGTCTGCAGAAGAGGAATTTTCAGACATGGAATTATTATTCAATGGATTATTGTAACAATGAAGGCCCCTGAGACAGTCACCAGCACCTGCAAGAAAGACTAATCAAGGTGTCTGGATTTCAAAGGAATGTGACCAGCATTTAAAATAAATTTATATTTTCTGTTACTATTTGCTGGTAGAGGTTCTTCTCCTCTCACTGGCTTTTATTGCATTTTTTTTCCTTCCATGCTGCAGCTCCCACACGATGCTCGCAGACTGAAGTGAGGATGGGGATGTCACTCCCTGCTCCCATGAAAAGTAGGGTAGTGCATTTCAGTCGGTCTTTTTAAGCACTGTGCACCACTCTTCCAGTAGCAATCCCATCAAAAAATACATCAGCATCTGCTCCAGATGTGGCCAGACTCAGAGTACTCGCAGAGTACTCAAATGGCAATGCAGAATCTGCAGCACCCTTACACCTCCATTGGGTACCACTGTGCCACACAGATAAATGACAGCACAGCCTTCCTGCAGCACCATCTGTAGCCCTGTGAGAGCCCAGAGCTCAACACTGAGATGCACAGAGAGATGAGAGGACACACAGGCCCGTGGAATGGAATGCAGCTTGCTTAACTATAAATGTCTATCCTATGACATAAGTACATGACAGCTATGTACCCGTGACTGTCACTGGAGAACTCATCAATACAGCTCAGGTAGTTTGGGGTACAATTCATCTCAACAAGGGTAGGGTGAGGCAAATCATACCCTAAACACTGCTCACTGTAACAAATGCATCTGCACTACTTAATTCACACACAGGTGTCATCCAAAATAGTGGAGCAACATTGAGCATCTTGGATTAAAAAAATAGCATGCCTCACAAATTGATAAATATCAACCCCTGAAAGGTTAACACTAAAAGTAGAAGAAAATAAGACTTATCTCATTGAGACCGTCTGTTGTAGCAGTCAAAGCAGTTAGAAGCCATTTGTTTGCAGGAGTCCATAGAGAATATCAAAATAAATTAGTTTATTTTGTTCTGCATGACCAAAACCCATCCCGCTTAGCTCTGCCTACCTAAATAAAGAGCACAGAGTGTTCCAGGCTTTTCTCCATAAACAAAACAGAGAGAGGTTGCTCCAAAGGGACACTCAATACCACCTAAGATCTGGTTTGTCCTCTAAATGTGCCTACCTTTCATTAGTGACTAATAGAAAACCAGGCTACAACAAAGCTGTTGGCGCACGTACTTCAAACAGATCCCAGAGTCTCTCTGTGTTACAATTAGTATTAACAATCTAAGGTTCTACTTGCAGGGCTTTCTTCCTCCAAAATCCACAAACATGACAGTTATGATAAGCGAAAAAACAGTTCATACAGCACAATTTACTGTGGCTCCACTATCAAAGCCCTTATTTATTCTTCCTAAGGGGGATCAGCAATCGCACCTTGAGATCCCTGCTGTGAGAAGCAAACCTTTCCTTCTACTGTGACACAACACCAACCCTGAACTGTAAGGTATTCTGGCAGATTGTGTTCAATATTTCAGGGAGTCCAGTATAGTGTTTTTCTCATTCATTACTGGCAATCAAGCCATTTGAAAGGAAATGAGAGATGGAGAGCTAAACATTCATTTGGAGAGCAGAGAGACAATCAAAATAATAATAGCCTTGTCTCAGATTTTGCATAAGATTTTTCAACACTAAGGAACATAAAATTGACATGTAATACATCTAACTAATATCAAACTAATATCAAAATATCAAATAACAACAAATGCTAATATTAAAACTAATATCTAAAATAATGTAAATTACATTTAGAAAGTCAATCACCAAAGTACTCTGAAAAATAGGTAATATCAACATTTTTTATTCATAAAGCAACAGAAACACTTAGCACAAAAAACATCTGACAGACTTGTTAGCTTAAAATTGACAATACAGAATACATTGTTACTGCACAATGCACGGGGGTATGCTATTCTAAAAGACAACTACGTATTTCGAGAGGTGACTGTATTATGAAGGGTTGATAATACTGACATCAGAGGAAAACCAGTAAGGAGAGATGAATCAAATAGTACGACTATATTCCTCATTGATACCACAGAACTCACAAGCTCTCTTTTACATAACAATAATGAAACACTGAAAGGCAAAGAAATGGAGAAATCCTGAAGTAGAAAAGACACAAGATGAATGGAAAGTGAGGCACACAAATAAAACAATGTATCCAAGAACAGGTAAGTGGATACCCTCCAGAGTCACAGATTTAATGCCCTAATTCTAGATCTTACAACCAGACATTTCCTTTGTACCCTGCTTCTACTTCAGCCTGCTGGGGTGTTGGACCTCTCAGCAAACAGGTTGGAAAAAAATAATCTGACAAACCGACTAGTGCTACTTCCAAATTAGCAGCCAAAGTGTGTTCATAACACATTCAAAACAAACAAGCCTACACAGTACCCAGCAATTTTTCCCATGTTAACAATTCTGGATTCCAAACCAAATACACAACAACTAAACCAAAATTATGGATATCAGAAAGTAACACTTTAAACAACTCATGCTCCATACGAAACCTAAATTATTTTCTCAGCATATGAAAGTCATCAAGATTGCAGTCATGCAAGCAGAAGACATAACCATGTACCTCCAACACATTTCAATAATTTTACCCAGGATGGTACTACACAAGGAAACCTGATCTGAGCTAGCACTGGAGCTCTTAAGTTAACAGAATGGTAGCTTATTTAAGCCATGAAAGAAATTTTTGTCAGAACCATACAGCACTTCTGTATACCACACCAGAAATATTTTACAGGCTAAATAAAGTACATTTACATTATTTCATTAAACTACAAAAATACTAAATTTCAAAGATGAAAGGATTCACATACATCAGAATAAAACAATGCCTTTGCAAATGGGTCAATAGACAGCTTTCCTTCACCTTTTATGCTGCCTCCAAAATACTTCAGAATAAGACATCTTATCATGGTGAAACAATGCTCTTTAACATCATAGACTGCTGTTGTTTCACCTGTCTAATTCATTTTTTCCCTAGCACCTGAGGAAATACTCTTTAATTGAAGAAAGGCACGGGAAGTAAGAACAATGACCTACAAAGAATCAAATACTGCTAATGACACAACAAGAAACACAATATAAATATAGGAAAAAAAGTACCAGAAGATTGCTGTATAGAGGCTGCTTTGGGCTTAGTATGATAACACTTGGAAAATATGTACACTTATTTGAGCCAGCTACGGTCAACTTGAATGATGACCTAAAGTCATATGACAAAAAGTTACAAATTTCAATTTATTAGCTTGTCATCAAATATTTCATACTAACAAGCTCAAGTGCTTCCACTGAAAAGAATTCAACTTCCAAGCTCTCAAATGCTATAGTTTGAAACACCTACTCTCCTGAAAACTCTTTCAGCTATACATCCAAGCAGTCTGAAATATACCTCTGACTTCAAAAGGGGCATGGGATTCTTTCATGAGCTAACAACATAGAAAAGGGATTTTTGCACACAGCTCCAAATCCTTACCTTTCTGTAGACTATCATATTTGGAGAACTCTCCTCTGGGTCAGCAGTTTCCGCACTACTCGGATCAGTAGGTGCTTGGGCCATGTTTCCCTCTTGTCGCTCAGACTGCAAGGACAGGAACAAAAGTCAGCATCACTCCAGGCTGCAATGGAGCATGGTAAGGACATGCAACTGTCTCCCAGGCAGACAGAAGGATGGTACAGAGGGGATTACACTCCAGACTTTACCCCATGCAGGATTTTATTACACTGTGTCAGAACTGACTGGTTTACAGAATAACGCCCCAAGAGCAAGGACCACCAAGTCACACAACAGCTGTGGTTTGGGTCATCACACACACACATTTCTCCCACAGTTCTGAAGTTTTATCATGAGATCTCATTCAACAGAAGAATATCCAATCAACACTTGGCACACTTCCTTTCCTTGCTATATAGCACAAACAGCTTTGACTTTTCTAGAAGCTTTGAGGTACCTGCAAAGAGAAAGCCAAGGCAGCTTGCTGTGAGGCAGAGTGAAACCAGCGGGTGCAGCTGACTGTCAGACACACTGACAGCTCTCGCCTGTGGACACTCCAAGCCCCTTCCAGCTCTCCACAACCCCAGAGCAGCAGCCAAGAACCAGGGATGCATAGCTTCTTCCTCAGAGCAAACAGCTTCCCTCACCTCTTCTCATGACACAGCCAGGAAGAGGCAACAGGACACAGGCAGACGACCACACTTAATACTCTTTATCTTCTAGAAGCACAGAACTGGAACTCCTGCCTCATCTCCTCCAGGTCATGCCAGCCTTGAGGCAACAGAATTATTTAAAAAAAGGGGCCTGGTGCAGGAAAGGCACTTTAAGCCCTAAGTCAAATGCTGTATTTTAAGTTTTTCTTCCACCAGCATATTTGACAAATTACATTTATATTAGAGGCTGCTGTGGAGCAGTGTGGTGACCTTTCTTAACCTAAGAAGTAACATTGCCTCATACAGACATTGGCATTAAAACTGTCTGACAAGTTCAATTTCTTCAACATTGAAAGTACTGAAACAGCCCATCTAAATGTACTTCATTAAAAACTGAGGGAAAAAAAAAATCTATGTTCACACAAGCATAACCTATGAATTAATTTCTAAAACACAGTTCACCACTAAACTGTCTCCCTTATTAAAGGGAAACGATACTTTCCTATTCCTTCTTTTACCCACTTTCACATTTCCACTGGCAACGAAGTGCCCCAGCACATAATATACATACATAGCATATAATTATCTGTATAACACAGCCCTGAGCCATTCTAGATGTCAGTTATCAGCTCCCAAGGACAAGTCAAGACCCTAGAATCAGACAAGCTCAGACCATATCCCAGCTCTGTCCTTTCTCAGCAGTGACAAGGCTACTGCAGTAACATGGCACCCATCACTAGAGCCAGAAGCAGTCGAGATATCCCCTTTAAGAAAACTTAAAAAAAAATAACAAGGTTGAATAATCCACATAAATCCAGAATCATTAATGTTTTTCTTTTATATGGTATGCATACACACACACACAAGTAGGCACAAAGGCATATGTACATGCATATACCAATCTGGAAATTCAGTAATACAGTTCAAGATCGATTCAAACAATTTATATATAAATCACCCTTTAGAGATTTTGATACTATTTTAAAGGACATAAATTTATTTTAATCCCTATTAAACCTCATGTCTTCCTAGAAGCCCAAACACTACACTGTTGTGCCAGATTGTGAGCTAAAAGGTAAATGGAATAAATTCTCTAAGCAAAATTATTAGATGCAGAAACAATTAAACAGCACAAATGATGAAGGGTAAAGCATTCTCGAATTATAGCACTTCAAATTATTTACACGAATGTGCATTTTCACAATACTTCTTGGTCATGATTTCAGGGCACTGAAGAATTAGGCTCTAGGTTATCATCACTTAATTGAACAGAGCAGGAACTGGGCTGAGATTTTATGTAACTTTCTGAAGGCAATTACAAAGCAGAGTTGAAAGCATATGTCAAGTCATACAAGTTTCAGCTTCACCTGCAGTATATAAAGACCACATTTATCACTAACATCATGTGAGATTTTATATGCATGCTTTAAAAGAAAACAATTGCAACTAACTTTCAATTCAGAAATGCTCTTAAAAGAGAAAAATTACAGTTTCTAACCAAAAAGCCCTCTGCAGCATTACTTAGCTGTGCTTCACTCATTGCATTATTCACTTTGAACATCCATATTTATAAATTCTGTTTTCTTGTTATACTGTCAGCTCACTTGATCTTTTCTGGTGCTTCAATATTTTCCCCCATAACACTTATTGAAGCTTTTCATCTACTCCAGTGCAACAAGACAATAACATAATGTGCAATATGCAGTAGTAGCTGGCACGCTGTGCACGGTGACATTGAGGGAGCCATTAACTTTGAAGATTTACATAATCCTAACATTGATCTACATAATATCTACATAAGGTAATCAATACAAGTGAACCAATCTGTTGTTGGAAATCAGAAATTTGCAAACGTGATTCCCATGAGCACCCAGCATCTGCTGCTGGATTTCAATAAGGAGCAGCAAGAGCAGGGCCACCTTTGTAGGACTGAAAGCAGGATGAACATCTCAGAGAACAAGGCTGGAGACAAGGTAGGACTGAGGTGCAGTGTGAAGCAAGACAATCCCCTCCACACAAGCCAGGCACTGCTGCTGCTGGGATGAACCTTAGCAGGCCAAGGCAGGGCCCCATAGGAATTGTGAGGACTCTGACTATTGTTTATTCTCTTTCCTTTATACCCTTTTTAAAAGCACAGAATTCTTTCGCATTGGTATTCTACAAGAAACAAACAAGCAAAAAAACCTACAGATAAAATAAGACAGTGATATGACACAGGCATGTTGGCTCTTCAAGGTGAAAGCACAGCAATGCTGGGTCCCATGGATTCCACTACACCTGTACTTTTTAACATATGGGGGTTGAATGGAGCTCAGCACGCAGTGATGCAGGACTGCTTCAAAGAACCACAGAATGGCTGGTGTTGGAAGAGACCACTGGAGTTCATCTGCTCCAAATTTCCTGCTCACATAGGATCCTCTACAGAATGTTACTCGGGGTTGAGTACAGATGGCATTTGAGTACCTCCAGTGAGAAAGACTCCACAACCTCTACCAGCAACTGTTCCAGTGCATGGTCACCTGCACACTAAAGAAGTTCTTCCTCATGTTCAGGTGGAGCTTCCAGTGCATCAGCTTCTGCCCATTACCTCTTCTATTGCTTTGGCACCCCAGAGAAGAGCCTGGCTCCATCTTCTTGGCACCCTCCCTTCAGATACTGACAGACATTGATGAGGTTCCCTCTCAGTTGCCCCTTCTTGAGGCTGATCTGACCCAGCTTCCTCATAAGAGAGATGTTTCCATCCCCTCTTCATCTTTGTAGCCCTTCCCTGGATCTTCTCCAGAATCTCCCTGTCTCTCTGTACTGAGGAGCCCAGAACTGGACACAGCACCCCAGATGTGCCTCACCAGGGCTGAGCAGAGGGGCAGGATCCCCTCCCTTGACCTGCTGCCAATGCTCTTCCTGATGCACTCAGGACACCATTGTCATTCCTGGCCACCAGGGCACTGCTGGCTCAGGGACAGTTTGTCCATCAGGATCCCCAGATCCTTCTCCAGAGAGCTGCCTGCTGCAAACACAAATGAGACTGCCCATGGTTAAAGTACAGCTTTTTTTACCCTATTACTATGTTAACATGCTAACTTTTGCAACTCTTTAATTAATACAATTGTATGTGAAAGTCCCCATCCAATTTGCGAAGTCCTCTCTTAAGAAACAAACAAAAAAAAAAAGCTACACAATTTTTTCCTCACTGTCAGCTCAGTCTACTCCAGATGCAAGCAGGAAGTCAATCCTACAACACTATACAGACTGAAAACAGAGTTTGCCTTCTGAACCTTTCTCTAAGCAATTATTTGTGATGTATCAGCCAGAAGTGAATCCAGCTTAGTCTCACAAAGAAATAATAGCTACACTTAGCTGAGAAGAATGAAAACCAAGATTTTATGTAGGGTTTTTTTTTAAAAAAAAAATTAAACCTCTAGCTTAATTAAGACAGCCTCCAGCTAAGAACCTCACCAATTACTATCTGAAGAGTACTGTCAGCTCCTCCCTCCTCTGAGCAGTTTGCTGTATTATCAGGGCTAACTCAACCCAGCCTGCAGCCACACACACCAGCAATCTAAATCCAAATGCATGTCCTCAAAAAAATGGTCTCTAAATTTTAAATTTCATGTTCAAAGATGCTATTTTCCCACAGATGTTTTTCTGACAATAGCCATGCTTGCAGCAATCTGGACTCCTCAGCAGCAAAAGTGATAAAAATTGAAAACCATTTGTGCTAGCCATTCTCTCACTGCCACATACAAGGAGAAAATCAGCAGTCTTCAACTTCTTGTTTATGGATAAGATGGCCTATTAAGCCTTTGAAAAATATTACCAAAAATATGCTCAAAAGAGAGGGTACATTCTCCTCTCACTGATTTTTTTTCCTTTTTATGTTTTATTCTTTATTATAGAACACTTATGCTTTTCCCCTAAGAAACATAAGCACACTGGATTAGACAGACAGCTGCTGACAAAATGCACTGAATCACAGTAAGAGTTCTCTCTCTCTTGCTCTTATCTGATCAGGCTCCTCACTCTCCCAAAAAACCAGAAGCTGCAGAGATAAGGCTCCCATATGTCATGAAAGGATGAGTGGACTTTAAGGCAGAATAATCAATTAAAAATATGCTGTGAAAACCAAGAAAATATTTTTTTCCAGTTTACCTTTTGAGTTTCTCATACAGAACTGTAATTAGAAAATTTCAAAGAAAGCCACCTTTACATTTTAATCCATAAATACTGTCAGCATTTAACCTCTGTGTATGTGTAAACTCAATGAAAGCATCTGAGCAGTAAATAAAGAGATTCCCCTTAGTGTTCCCAAACACCTTGATTTCTGTCAGAAAAGACCATTGGAAACAAGACTGCTGTAAGAAGCCTCTTACAGACAGAAACTCCCATTTCATAGAAATCAGCACACCTAGGA